TCCGAGAAGACTAGAATATCTAACCATTTCTTGATGTTATAAAAAGGTAGCATATTCTTCTCAATTATTTTAAGACCCTGAGTGTTGGTCTGGCCGGGGCTCGAACCCTCGACTTCCCGCACAACAATCCAGCGCACTATCCATTGGGCTAATTTGACGGTTATAAGCATGGACAGAATCCCCACCCTGTTGTTGGGACTGAGATACAGGCAAATTGTAACTTTAAAGCGAACATATCTCACTGCAAACCTTTTGGGATTTATCTAGTGTCGCTGCTTTTTACCACATTTTACACCAACGTATGACTCGTTTGTATAGCCGTCTAACTATATGCTAAGTAATCTCAATTGTCTCCTTCACAAAGATTTTTCCGCGCCTCCAATTATTTTAAGGCTCAGGTACAAGATCATGTTAAACGACAGCCAAATCAGTGCAGTGTGAGTGAGTTTGCTATCTGCCATATGGTGTAGCAGAAACTATGTGGATTGATGGTAAAACATATCCATCACTCTTGGTCGTCATAACGAGAATAACAAGTGCCCCAGTTTCCTTAAACTCAACGTTGAACCCGTTTATTTACTGCTGGTTGATTAGGGAGGTATGGAAAGCATTGAGGGAGACAATCGCACCATGATTTTTTTTGACAGTGATATATATGTTAACTTTTAAAACTAATTTAATTGTTCAATTTAATCTTATTGCAAGATCTTCAACAAGCTAGTTGCACTCATTATTCTTAGTAAGTAGAGAGAATCTAAAGGGAAATTTTCAGGGAAAGAACTTTTATACAAGAATTTAGATCTTTGTTTTGTAAGTTCATCAGCAATCCTAACGTCTGCGAGAAATTAAAGATTGAAGATGTAAAGTTGGTAAAAAAGTGGCATGTTACGAAAACGAGATCCCAGCCGGTGAAAACTAAAGTAAGTACCTTTTTTTCCAGTTAGTGCATAAAAAAAGCTAGGTTGCTGCTTCTCGAGCTCAGCCAACAGTGACTTACGTTTTCCCACGCTTCGCAAAATTTGTTTGTTCATTGTTTGATATTTTCTTTGATCTGATCAGTCATTATGACTACTTGAATCGGTCTCGGGTTTACAACACATATTTGAGAAGCGCTTGCGATTCGACCTAATCTCCTGCCCTATTTCTATCTCCACCTGAAACAGCTCGGAAAATAGGATGAAGGTAGAATCGCTTAGTCCTTCCTCCTCCCTTTACCTTTTCCAGCTTGGAGTGCCTTTGGTTCGTTTTGGGCACCCTCTGAAATAAACATTTGGATCTATTCGCTCGCTCAATTTTATAGCACCCTCTTTCCTTTCTGTTTTGTTTTGTCGTTCTAAAGGAGTATAGCTGTTTAAGTCACAAAACGAGACAGGCTATCGAAAGAGTGGATCACGTGCAAGCCTCGTTCCTTAAGCCCTGAAGTGAGAGAGTGCATAACGCAAACAAGCACGGTAAGGATCAGATTAACGTGAAATACGCTTCGTTCCTCAATCCATGAAGCAGGAGCTTGTTTCAAGGAAAAATCAGAGGCAAGCGTAACACTCCCATGAAATAAATATGTGTGAGGTCAAGCGTGAGGTCAGGATGGCTGGAATTGACATGAGGCTAATATCTAAACATCTTGACCGAACAAGCTTTATCAGTAAAGGATTTATGATGTTTTCATTTTGAGAGCCAGAAAAGAAACCCAACTGTGTATGTAGCTGTATAAACACACCTGGGTCATTTATGGTTTCTGTTTTGACTGTCTTCTTCCGCTTTATGCAAATCCATAGTCGATATTGTCCAAAACTTACGAACTCTGCAAGTCCGCTTCAAGTGATGTTTTACTTGGGCTGGATGATCAAAGCGGACAATCCATACGTCGCTCCATGCAACTCGTTAAAAGCTCAGATCACAAGAGAGTGTGATACACTTGAAACTTCTTCGCGCTCTTCAACCCAGCTGAAAACTGCTAAAAGCGTGCAACAGAGACAAAAGTAAAAGTGTAGTGCGATCGTTCGAGTGACTGCAGTCCTGAAGAGGACTATTGTCGGTGGTGGTGACTGACGTTTCGACAACCTCTGCGGAAGTCATCATGCTCTTAAATCAGTGAGCAGAAATTTTTTGTGCCAAATCCATGGCCTCTAAATACATCACGTACTCGTATATGTACTGTCTTATATACTCCTTGTGGTTACTTATATGTGGTTACTTATATACTCCTTGTAGTTACTTCCGCGTACTTCCTACTATGCGCTAAGGTCTAAAATAGGTATATTCCTTACGTTGTATACACAAGCAAGGTTATAAACCGTACTTGCTGAAACTTTCGGATGAAATCTCCTGTTGTCAGATTATATATGGTTCAATTCGAGCAGTGTTACTCACCAATCATAGAGAAAAAAAAAGACAATAATCACCTTACGTCCTTCGTTTTACATTCTCTCTCATCCCGAAGTTTGCTTTCCTTCCGCATTTTACAAGTCTCTGTCCTTCGGCTACAACGCTCTACGGTACGTGCTCGGCTATAACAGGAAGAGGAAGAGCTCCAAGTTAGTTAATGTTGTTGTCCCGTATTGTGTCGGTATTGCTGATTCTTTCTGTTCAACTCGGTCAGTTTTAACTTTAACCAAGGATAAGCTCGAAGGGAAGTTATCTTGCTCCATTTCCTCGACAACTGCAAGTAATTAAACCATCAGTGACTCGAGACTCGGTTAGTCGAGCTTCGAAGCCATTGGTAATACTATTGGTGTTGGCGAATAATTCTTACGGTAAGTGCTTCGTCTATTTTCAAGCTCTACCGTGCTTTGTCTTTTATCATGTATAGAGACTGAGAACCGTTTTATCTAATGTTACTTCCTTGAGTAGAACTTGACTGTCTTCTTTTAAAATTTTACTCTAAATATGAGGTACTTCTGTAGACATAAATCAAGCTTTCTAGTTTCAACTTCCTGAAGGTTTAGTCTAGTAAGAGCTAAAATCATTATTTCGAAGACAAAAATTGGAGCATTCGTTCCAAATTTTGAGGGAGCATTACAGAATAAAGGGTCATCCTTGAAGCAGTATTACTGTAGTGTCTCGACGATTGGTTCGTGAAAACAAAATTGATCACGATACGGTTAAATATTAAATGTGAAAATAGTTCGTCACAGTACACTCAGTCTGTTTAGCACTTTAAGAGATATTTTGTACGTGGCGTAGCGGCTCGACGAGTTTTATGCTGGCGAGGATATGTGAGCATGGCAGGGGAGCGAAAATCCCATACATCATTAGCTTAAAGACTCGCAGAACAGTGTCTCATTCAAAGCAATATAATGGTTGCGGTAAAGTGAACAGTATCACCTTAAAAAAAACCTGTTCTAATTCAACAATAATAACCTCTGTAATAACCGATCAGGAATGTACTTTGAAAAAAGTAAGGACGTTTAAACAAACAGCTGACCTAAGAATTTTATACTGACAAGGTCTGACAAGAAGTATTTTGTTTCCTTCCTCAAAAATGTCTAGGAGTCTTAGGGAAAGCTTCCTTTATGGAGACGGTTTTCAAACAAATTTCCGTATAACAGAAACGGTACTAATACTAAAACTAATAACGTTTATTCAAACCTCTTGCAGAGAATGCTGAATAACAGGTTTATAAATTATATTAACAAGAATTATAGGAGAAAAAAGGGGAAAAACTGTACAAAATGCATTAAACTACATACAAGTAGAAACAGCATGTACATAACAATGATAATAATACTAAAATGATAATAATGTTAATTATAAAAAAAACGAGTATGATTAAACTGGCAAGTACTTGACTGTAACAAAGTTCTTATCACATGTATTATCAAATGGCAGCCCTCATATTTTTCCAATAATTTAGTTGGTAGAAAAGTCCAGTGTGGCCCATGTACTAGTATTAGTGACAATACTTCCATGTTCATACACACATTTTTAAGTTTGTTTAACAATGTCTTTTTGCGAAACTATTTTCTATGATTCGTTCGCTTGCTTGGACAAAGAACTGTAACACAGTTGATGGGCAGTGGAAATGATCATGTGTGTGGGGCAAGAGAGGATGCAGGCACTTTTTAATGAATTTCTTGTATTACTTATCATTCGCAGAGGATTCTCAGTGGAAGATAATGTTGTCTTTAGGCTTGAACATCCCTCTCCTGACAAGCGTAGCCTTAACTGCATTCTTGTCACGCTTACATTTGACTGTGGGCAAGTCTCCCCTTTCTTCATCAAATACCAGTCTCTGTACCAGCCACATAGATGACCGTACATGAAGAACGTACATGCTCTACCGTAGCGTGTTTCCTTTAAACGGGTGGAAGCTAGCGGATAGTTATGGGCTGCGGGCTGATGGCAAGCTAACCGTTCTGAAGTTTTATCTTAGCGCTTAACGAGTACAAGTAATTTACCAGTTACACTCACTTCGGATAGCCAAGGTGTTTTGACAGACGGCCTTAACTTTTAAACGGTTTAAAATTGATCTTGTTATTTAGGGGATGTTGTTCAAGCGTTAAAACGTTACCTTAACGTGCGTCGCGCTGAGAATTTTTGAACACCCATGCCTGACTAATGTTTGAGGAATCTTTTAAACGTTCTTGGTTACGCCATGGCGAAGACATTTGCTGCATTTGATTGAAGTGTGTTGTGCAGTTAAATGGCGCTCCGACGTAAACTGACTGAGGATTGCAACACTTATCAAATTTCATCCCTTAATCCTATGATAAAGTCAAAATAATTTGAAGCAGTTTAAGTGACTGATCAAAGTTAGGGTTGGAGTAAACGAAATGAATGAATACTCTTGCTTTTCAATTCCGGGAAATTAGCATTCTGAGCAAGAAAACGGGATGACATATCAGAGACACTCTTTACAAAATGCATTAGATTGGCAGACGTTACGCTACGTGTGCGCACTTTGCCAAGATGGATGCTTAACTCTTTCCAATCAGTACGTTACACGTTTAACGTATCTATAGTTAATTGATTTTTTGTAACCGACCTTGTTAACGGTTCAAATGGACGGTTACAAGTGTTCAACGGATAGCTTATTGCCTCTGACGTTTCTGAAAAAAAAGTCTAACGGACAGGGGATGCTAAAGGCTATGGGCCGTTTAACGGAAAAAAGGTCAGGTATGCTTTCTCATTCACAGTCACATACAGACCCTCCTTTTTTCAAGTTAATTGGGCATTAATTATACAAAGTTCATTCCACGCTCGCTGAAAGGTTTTTTTCGTTGTACCCAGTAGGTGCAGTGCAAAAAGTAGAGAGACAGAGTTGTTCTGTCAGGACAACTGATGGAAACTGTTGCAGCATTCCCTTTACTTATAAGGGGGTTAGACATCATTCGTGTACAACAGGGGATCATAACAGGCTGTGGTGTTCTCTGGATCATATCTACAAAGGAAAATGGGGAAATTGTGGTAATTACGATGTGACGAAGTAGTGGACAGTAAGATGATTCTTAGTGATATCAATCACTAAAGAGTATTGAGTTCGCACTATGCACATTTTCAGATCTCAGTCTTCCTCTGCGATTTGATGCATCATGACTAATGAAAATCAAACCTACTTCCCTCCTTTTCCGAAAGTTATTTAATTTGGCTCTCACTTTTGACTCTTTACTGACTGATTCACTGTGCTCATATAATATGAGCTTATTTAATTCCATTACAATTTTTTTTTCTATTTTCTTCCGTTTTCTGCTTTTCATTTGTTTCTGCCTACGTGCCTTTCTTTTTTTAGCTTCGTTACCCATCGATAGAGGAAGAACGATGTACAATTTTATTTATTTTCCGGTTGGGTATTCCGTTGAATACCCTCTGGTCTTTTTTGTGTTTAGAAAAAAAAAAAAAAAGAAATTCGTTATGGTATCAGTTAACCTGTGAAATCCGTTTGTCGCGTAATGTTTTTTCTTTCTCTAAGTTGAGTTGACCACGAGCGGCCAATGCTGCAGCATACCTTTCACTTACAAAGGGGTGAATTATCATTCCTGTACTACAGCAGATCACAACAGACGTTGGTGTTCCCTAGATGCTACCTACAGCGGAAGATGGGGAGATTGTGGTAACTTTTTCAACTTGTAGTTTTGATTAGTTGTGAAATTCATTCTTTTACTCCCATCATTGCTCACCTTCTTCAAAAAAGAATCAAAAAACCTAATTGCGCTTCTTTGTCAACCGAGTATCAACTGAGTGTCAACCGAGTGTCAACCGAGTGTTAACCGAGTGTCTAACTAACTTTGGAAACAAATGAATAAAGTAACGCGTATGAGAAATAAATAAGTTAAGAGTTCCTTTCTTAACCCAGTTTTATGGTCTTTATTTTTTTTTCTTATTTGCTGATCCCTCAAGTCGAATGTTATCACAAAACAACGGAAGGTAAATGCTGCAGCATTCCTTTCACCTACAAAGGAATAAAGCATTACTCTTGTACCACTGCTGATCACAACAAACTTTGGTGTTCACTGGATTCTACCTACAAGGGCAACTGGGGAAATTGTGGTAAGCAACCTCAATCGAATTAAGCACTCCCAAATAACAACAAAGTAAGAGATGAATAGAATATTTTGATGAGGCAATGAGCAGTCGTAAACATAGAAAGAAACAAAGAAACATGCCAAATCAAAGAAAAGGAAACCTTTTCTATAATGCTCAATGTGACCCTTTGACATTTTTAAAAATTGTTTTATCTGGTCTCAAAACTGTTATGTATTTACATGTTCATTGCTCGTTTGGAATCCTCATTCTCCTGAGGGGTTGTTGTACTCTCTCTCACCAACCACTGATAATGATGAGAAAGTGGATCAGAAGTTTATAACGTGATAACTTTCGGGTGAAAACCTTGGAGTCCTCTTAGTACGACTGAATATCATATGAGACCACCCTGAAGGAAAAAGATTTATGATATCCATGTCACAGTTTGATTTTAATTTAATTCTTTATCTGTTTTTTTGCGTTCCAAAAAAAAAAAGCAAAGTGTTTGCAAACAACGACCGATGGCAAGTGCTGTAGTATTCCTTATACTTACCAAGGGATACACTACAATTCCTGTACCACTGCTAATCACAACCGATCATGGTGTTCACTCGACAAAATGTACAAAGGAAATTGGGGCAATTGTTGTTAGTAGTTCACTTGGAATTCTCTCTCTAGTTGTGAAGGTTGTTTTCGTCTCTGTGATAACAGCTACTGCAATTAGGTGCATGATTCACGGACTAAGGTTTTTTCCAGAGTAGGTTTCGAAATAGTGTTAGAGCTTGAATTAAAACCAATTTGAGAGTTAACTAAGGTACTAAAAGGTACTAAAAGTACCTAAAGTAAGGTACTAAAAGGTACTAAAAAAATCAAAGTTAGAAAATCGAGGAAATGCATTTTGTGAAATTTTACCAACTGAACAATAAAGGCACTGTGCCTTGAGAAAAATTCAGAGAAAAAAAGTGGAAAGTGTTATGTCTGCAGGTCACATAAGAAGTTGATGTATATAAAGTCTTTCAAAACCATAGCCAGAAATTGTGGACGGGAAGCGGCAGTCAACGCGGGCGCAAAAAACAAAATAAATCAAAATGGCGGTTAGAGCGAATAAAAGAGTAAGGGCTATTACAAGGATTTAAATGATGTGAGCACTGTTGTTGAAAATAAAGTGAATAAAAAAACCTCCTCGGGTAAGTTGGAATACCATAAGAAAATATCTCACCTTCACTGTGATCAACCTCTTGAACCTTTTCTTGGCTTCTTACAAGATAGTACCATTCTTTAGTGGTGCTATAGGCCAAGGCAATTGTCAAGGCTATTTTTCTTGCTTCTCTGTTTCTTGCATATTGCAGCGAGATGTCTACAACGTTGATTTTCCAAGTTTCAAATCATTTAACGGGCGGATATCAGACATGGCACACATGAATATAACTATTTTAGTAAAAAATCTCTCCCGCGTTCCCGCTTTTTTTTTCCAAATTTATATTCAGCGGCTTCTCTATTTTACTGTAAATACTTCGTGTATGGGGAATTACGAAGAAAAACAGAGAAAAAGGAAAACAAACCGTCTATGGAGCCTTTTCCCCTAAATGATGGCGCTGATTCCACATTGGTCTCACTTTCAAAGAAGCCTGCTTTTCGTCTTAAAAAGGCAGTGCCCTAAAGTGTGTTTTTTCGCGTGAAAAACGTTTGGTTTGCAAGGGTTACAGCTCATCTCTTGAAACGGAGGCTGGGAAAACTTGTCGGGACAAGAACGTTTCTCCTCACGCTCAGAAAGGCATGAAGTTAAGTGATTTTTGAAGAGGTTAGTAGGGGTTTCATTGTGTTTGTCTGGAGTTCTTTTGATCGCAAAAGGCAGTGGCTTGACTGAAATTATTTTCATTTCTTGTGCGATAAAAATGTAGTTCGATTACTGCTTTATTAATTTTTTAGCAGAGGAAAGTACCCATTTGAGTGGAAATTACAAAAATTAGGAACGTAAAAAAGCTCCCCCATACTTCCTTTATGTTCTGCCGCCATATTTAATCTCTTTTCGTGTTATACGTGCATGCTTACGGCCAGGTTGGCAGCCATGTTGTCCGAAATTTCTGGCTATGAGATTTTGTGTAGAAATTAGCGGATGATCTTCGTCACTTTTGCACTATTTTAATTTTTTTTCTTATTCTCTTTTTCAGCATCAAACTGAACCGCACTTGAACACGAAAGTAAATATAGTTAACAATAATAATTATTATGCTAATAAAGTTCAGTGTTGGTTTGCAATTGGTTATATTTTTGTTCCCCTAAAGATAAAGCATTTTCTTTTCACTAAGAACAAATCTGGTAAAACCTCTGTATCAGAGTGAACTGCATTCCAGCGAGATTATTTTTTCGTAGACTAAGTTGTCAGTCCGCAACAATTTTTCTCCAGCGTACCGCCCTCGAGATTTTGCTGGTTCAATATTTCTATCACTCTTTTCGCGTCTGACAATTTTAAAGTACCATTGCGACTTGGTTAAGGGGGTAATTAGCTGCAGAGCGCATCCTGCTTAGCGAAAACCAACAGGGACTCTGGACCTGTCTGTTACAATCCTCTTTAATCTCAATTCTACTCGCTTGAAAGGTTCGAAAACGAGATCATGACACCGGGCCCTGTGATGCTCTTAGTTAAGTTCTGGCTAGTCACATGGAGCTCTCATGCTCTGGACAAGCTGGTCAGCCATCTTGGAAATATTTTTTTCTTATAGCAGCAAGGAAATTCTCTCGGACATAGTTTGATGCTACTCTGGTTCAAGGATTTAACGAATGAAACCGAGGAATTAGAATTCATCGACCCAACACTTCGACACTCCTGTCTAGTGCCTTCATCAGGGGTGATCTACTCGTTGCAAGAAGAGGCCCTTTTATATGCTCACTAATTAGATGCCCTGTTTTCTGACGAGGTGTAAATAGGCTTACCTGGCTGGAATTCCATTGAGACCTATCGTCTCTTATATTAATTCTCCGACCTACGCAAACTGTTTTGGAGTAAGTCTTTGAAATAATGGCACTCCAGGGGTGTCCTTGGCTCGTAAGTACGAAACTCTCTGGGTGTTGCTGTTCCAGTGGCGCTGTCCTGTATGGCAGGTTTGATGAAACGCCATTCTCTAATCTAACAGCTCTGCCCTTATAGTCGATCGTGATTGACCCCAAAACCCAGCGGTAACTTTTGACAGTATGTCGATTACGCCCTACGTGTTCTTTGAATTGTTTGTTTGCGGCCGGGATATTAAAAGATGCTCGTAGATCATACTTGTACTGGTAAGTTAACTGGGAAGGTGGATCTCTTGTATATTTTCCTTTTTGAAGTGCATAGTCTCTTCTTCATGGCAGCTCCGATGTCACTTATTAATACCTTGATATTGTCTGATAATCTCTGGGGTTTTTCTTTCTTGCCGCCTGAATGTCAGCATTGTCGACACGAGCTTCATTGAAGCCAAATTGACTGATCTGCAATTTGACGTCTTCAATTTTGGACATTGCCGTTGACAAGGAAGGCTGAAATAACTGGTTCACTGCAACCACTCTCAAAGCGGACCCCACCCCACACTCGTCAAGATCGGTTTCCTTTCTTAGAAACTTAGGTGATTGTTAAGTAACTCATATCAATGATTTGCAAAAGCACAGAACACGGGATGTTGTAATATCTCAATTAAATACAAAAGGAGCAGACATAAATATGAAGTCTAACAAAGCTAACAGCTAGTGGCCATCATTCTGAAAATGCATGCTGTTTTACCCTTTTGTCTCTAATTATCCACAATGGTTGCTTGTAGAATTGGAATTGCCCTTCTTGTTTCCAACTCGAAATCTCACCCGTTCGCTGCGCTTACCCGTGAGCTATCGAGTTAAACACTTGAAGAGAAATCCATTCAGTGCAACGTCACCCTCACTGTATTAGCCTTTGTCTTCGTCCTCGTCTTCTTCGGTGTCACTGTTACTTTTAGTCTTCATTACTGTCATTATCGCTGTCACTGTCACGGTAATTGTCACTGTCAGTGTCAATATCCATCTCACTGTTACTCAACCTCAATACCACTGTCACTATATATAAAACTGCCTCTATCACTGAAAATTCGTTTTCCTTGCTTCTTTTACAGTCTTCTGACATTCTCGCTGTCTTTGCGGCTTTAACTGTCACCGTCCGTTACTATTACCGTGTTTTTCAATGCCACTGTCACTTTCTCTTTTACTCATAATTTCACTCTGTTCGTCATTAATGTCACTGCCACTCTCTCTTTTTTTCTGTTGCTGTCCGTGTCATTGTCTCTGTCACTGTTACTTTCACTGTTACTTTCATTGTCAATTTCACTGCCACTGTTACTGTCACTATCCCTGCTACCACCGCTCTCCTTATCACTCTCTCTATCAATATGTCAGTCACTGACACTATCTCGGTCTTTGTCGCCGTCACGGTGTCAATTTTACTATCACTGCGCATGTTACTGTCAGCTCCCTGTCGCTGTCAACTTATTATGTCTGTCATAGGCGTTTTCACTCTTTCACTCCTTGTTGCAGTTTATGTCGAGGTCCATTCTCTATCTTTGTCAAAGTCAATGTGTTTGACATTAATAATTGTTTTAGTATAATTTCAGAGCTGAAAAACAGAGAAATTTCTAAAATCATAACATTTTAGTAACATTTATTAACATTCTATTTTAACATTTTATAAACTGCGTGGAGCGGTTTATATAGCGTCATATAAGGAACCGCTCGACCAATCAGATTGCTTGAAACTCTTTGCTCAGCTCTGAAATTATACTAACAATAGATATAATTTAAGAAACAATGATTTCATTATTCCCAGAGTAAGCACGACACGCTATGGTAAGCACTCTCTTAGTTACTTAGATCCAGTAATCTGGTCTAAGTTAGATGGAAAAACAAGAACACTAAGAACGCTACAAGAATTTAAAATTGCTTTACATACATTAGATATACAAAGTTTAATCTCCTCGGGCAATTGCAAGAACTTTATCTTATGTAAATCTTAATATTTTATATTATCAGTATTGTCTTTCTAATCTTATAGGTAATTTTAATTACACAGGGTAGGGTAGTACATATATATATATTTGGTGAACTACACGGGGCAGAATTGCATATTTTATGCGTTTTATATATATTAGATTAGTTTAGTTTAGGTGTCCTTATTTAGTGGGAAACTGCTACTGATTTGACACATTAATGAAGTTTATTATAATTATTATTATTATTATTATTATTTGTCATTGTCATAAGCAGTGTCACAATTTCTGTTTTTAAAACCGTCACTCTCGTTCTTACTGCCTTTGTCGCTAGCCTTATGACTGTCCCCGTTTGTCTCTGCTACTGCCACTCTCCCTTTCTATCTTTCTCTGTCCATGTGTCTATCATTATCACTTTCTCTCTTTCTGTCTCAGTCACTGTATCTTTCTTTGTCTAAGTTACTGTCACCTTTGCTGTCTCCGTCAATCTCTCTAATATTGTCTCTGTTTTTGCTGTGGCCATTCTCCCTGTTGCCCTCCCTGTCATTGTGTCCGTCGATGTCACTGTGCTCGTAACTGTCATTGTCTCTGTCAGTAACACTGCCACTCTCACTGTCAATTTTTGTTGCTTGCACTGTTACTACCACTGCCAATTTCTCTGTCACTATCACTATCATTTACACTGTTGCACTCAATGCCACTGTCACTGTCTCAGTCTCTTTTTCTTGTCACTGTCACATTTACCAACAGAATTGTTTTTGTAGTGTCTGTCTGGGTTGCTATCTCGGTCGCTCTCCCTTTCATTGTCACTGTCAAAGTAATTGAAAGTTCATTTTCATTGTCACTGTCTCTATCTTTTCCCTCTGCTCTCATCACTTTTTTTAATTGTAACTGTCAACATCTACCTCGTTACTCTCACTGTCTCTGACATTTTGAATTTCTTTTTCTGTGTCACTGTATTTGTCACTATCATTGTATCTGTCATTTTGAGTGTCAAAGTCGCTTTCTCTGCCACGGTCAATGTCACTGACATTGCCATTGTCATCGTTACTGTCCGTGTCACTGTTACTATCAGTGTCACTACATGGTTACAGTCTCCATTTTTGTCATTGTCTCTGTCACTGTCAATTTTAGAGTCACTTTCACCGTCTCTTTCAGTATCCATGTCACTGTCTGTGGCTCTGCTTCTGTCGGTGTAAGCCTTTGCCACTGTCATTATCTCTGGCTTCCTTAAGGTCATTGTCACTATCTCTAACACTTTCTCACTCAATATCATTCCATTATATCGGTCACTGCCAGTCTTCCTGTCACTGTCTCTGGCACTATCACAGTATTTGTCGCTGCTACCAGTTTTTTCACTGTCTCTGTCTTTTTCCTGTCGCTGTCGGCGTCTCTGTCACTCCGTGAACGCTCTGATTGTCATTTTCATTTTGTTTTCCATTTTCCTTGTCATTGTCTATTTCTCTATTTTGTCACCGTCAGTATGTCTGTCAGTCACTGTTTTTGCATAGTTAATTGAGGGGGTCCCCTCAATTAACTATGGTTTCTGTCAGTATCGGAGTCTGTTAGTTCATACTGACCATCTCTGTCACCGTGTTTGGCACCGTCACAGTCCTCATCACTCTCTCTTCTGTCATTGTCGCTGTTAATATCATTGTCACCGTCACTGTTTCTTTCGCTGTCTCTGTCACTTTGTTGTTATCTGTTACTGTCCGTTTTGCTGTATCTGTCACTGTGTAACTATGACTGTCGTCGTCACAGTATGACACTTCCATTCACTTCCATTGTCTCTCTCACAGCCACTGTTACTTTCTCTGTCACCTTCAAGGTGACTGACACTTCATTGCCATTCATTTTCATTCTCTATTCAAAGAACAACTACAACAATGACTTCATCCGACGAAACACCCACCGACCTACTACAACTACCGAAACAAGAACGACACCGCAACTCCTATAACTACAGCGACTATACCATACATAAAGGGCATGTCTGAGAACATCTCGCGCATCCTACCACCATTCAATATCCGTGTCGCCTACAAACCCATCATTACATTAGGTCAACTTCTAACAGACGTCGAAGACAAGGACGAACTGAAGAACAGAAGGGCAACGACTTATAAGATCAATTGCTCCGACTGCCACGCCTTCCACATCGGAGAGACTGGCAGAAATTTCAAGAATAACTGAACACCAGCCGGCGACGATGAAAGCCGGTGATGTCAACAATCATATTGCTGAACACCATCGACTTAC